AAGGTAAGTCCCTAATCTATTTGCATAATAATGATAGTTTTAGTTGAACTTACCTATTTTTAACACCCCTTACTTAAATTTTATGCATTTAATCAAAACATGTATATAGTTACTTTTTGATTAGAACTAAACCTTATTCAACACTATTACTATTGTTTTTAAATCATATAAGTGCAAATATGAATTATTATTTTATAGATTCCACACTTGTCATACATTCTAATTAATCATTTAAGTTCAGATTAAATTGAGATATTTTAAGCTAATAAAATTTAAGGAAGAAAATGTTGATATATCTTATCTTATCATTTAAAGGTAATTTGGGATGTTTAATGAACTGTTAGGCCAAAATTATCAAATTATAATAAAACTAGACGAATGCCCACGCGTTGCACAGAAACACCTATATAGTTGAAGTCTTTACAAATATATGATTTTTTAAATATAACAATAACGGTGTTGTTAAATTTGATATAATAATTTGTATATGCTAAATTGATATAATATATTGATTATTTTGAACTGTATGATAATATATACATTTATTATACCTTCGTAATCTCAATCGTTTGAATGACTTCTACCCGCGAGCTACACATAAATAAAATTAAATATAATATATGATTTGATATTATTTATAGTTGTTTTTATTGTTAATTAATTTTTTAAAATTTATTTGTTTAATGTTTTGATTTCTATCATTATAACTATTTAAAACATCAAACATTGTTTTCTTATTTTAAAGCTAAACAATATAATAATTTATATAGATTTGTTTTTAACTATTGTTATTGTAAGTTATTTTAAGCTACTTATTTGGAAACTTTTAACAATTATAAAAATATATTTAAGAAATATTTTAGTTAAATTGATATTACAATTTAGTTTTTTCTTTTATCACTACAATTTATCACTTTTAACTATTTACAAAATATTCTTTAATTTTTTTAAATGGAACTGAAATTTATATTTGAGTTGACATTGTAATGCGCAGAAACACCTATATAGTTGAAGTTTAGTTTATTTATGATTACACTTTAGGTTTGATATTTATTTAACCTTATTAACCAACTTACAATCATTATTAGAAAGACACTACAATTTATCACTTTTAACTATTTATAAAATAATCTTTGGGTTGTTTAAGTTAAATAAAATTTATATTTAAGTTGAGCCTATAATATTATATTTTAATTAATAATTTAAGTATTTTATGCAAATTGTTCAAAAATTATACCTTTAAAATGATAATGGTTTACATCCAACAATATATTAAAACTAATAAATTAAGTATAATATGTTAAAAGTTAAAAAAAAAACATAATTTTATAAGTAGAATTAAAGATATTATTTTAATATTGAAATTTAGTTTATATATGAATACACTTTAGATTTGATATTTATTTAACCTAATTACCAAATTATAACTATTATTATAAAGGAATTGAAAAATCATGGGAGTTTCAAATGAATATGGTGAAAGGAAAAAAGAATGGGGGTTTCAAATGCATGAGATTCAAGAAAAAATGCTAGCTTTATAAGTATGTATGATAAAATTAATTGGACAAAATCATAAAACGAGGAACGACACGTGTACTATGTCAAAACTAAAAATGCCATAACTTTTACTATGTTGACCCATTAGACCTAAAACCATTTATATTATGATTTTAATGGCATAAGAAACATATGTCATATCTAGGTGATAAAATAAGATTTCAAATGTTTAATGTTATAAAAGAGCTCGATTTAGTTGTTAAGTGATAAATATAAGTTTGATGTATACATGAATCTTAGAGTAAATACTACTAAGGTGTTGTTTGTTTTTAAAGCAAAAATTCATGAAGTCTACAGATCACCTCTACAACCCTCTGCAGTAGAAGAGGTAGACCAAACGACTGCAAACTGTAATAAGAAGCGTGTTTGTTTTTTTAACATCTGCATGCTGTTGCAGATATTAAAAAATTAAAATAAACTAATTTTATAAACTGAAATAATCATATTTTAACAAAAAAAAAGAAGATATTTTAACAAAAAATAATGATATTTCATCAAGAAATTATCATTATTCAATATAGAAAGACAAAACTGCACAAATGGTACTTTGGTCCAAAAAAGTTTGGACTAGCACCAAAGGTCAAAAAATTTCATTTTGTTGTGAGTTTGGTCCAATTTGCTTTGAACTTTTTATAAAGACAGCTTTGCCCTTGCTTTTTTCATTTGTAGCTATTTATTTATTTAAATAATTTTCTGATTAAAAGAAAAAATTTTAAAAATTAAAAAAGCCAAATCTCTCTCTCTCTTTCCTTTTGAAGAAAATATATCATCTGGGTATCTTTCCAATCTCATTTTTAATTGGGTTTTTCTAAATCATAACTCAGTGGAAATCATATGTGCATTTTTTTTCAAGGGTAACTTAAGAATCAGATTCCTATATTCGAATAAAAAACTGAAATCGTGTGTGCTTATGTTTTTGGAAATCAATTTAAGATTGTGTGTGCGTGTTCTAAATTTATGAAAATCGGTTCTTGGGTGTTCATCCTCCGTCTTCATCTGGAAATTGATTTTAATCTAGAGACGATTTCAGAGATGAGGGAGGTATTGGATGCTTCTTTGTGAAGGCTTTCTCGTAGAAATTCAAGAAAGGGACGATCGTAGAGGGGTTTAACCCCACTCCCACACTACCATAATCTATATATTCCTCTTGTATCTTTCTCATCTTGCAGGTCTAAATCGAGGTAAACGACCCTCTCTTCCCTTACTCCCCTCTCTGATGTTGCAGTCCCATCTCCATCTTCGATTTTCCCCTATTAAGAACAACCCTTTTCGAACTTCAAAGCATTTTCCCTCATACAGAGTGAATTACATAAATCTATTTATTATTGGAATGAATATGGATTATGTGAATCGGGTTTTTTTCGTTGCCTCAGGTAGTTGTACTAGAAGTGGGAGGTGATCAGTGGAATGCAAGAAGACATAAAGGGGGAGGGGTGTATGGTGGTCTAGGTTTTATCCATAGTAAATCATGTCATCTTCTGTGTAATTGGATTTATGCTTCCATTGTTGTTTACAGGAATAAAAAGATGAAAGAAATATAGATGACTAGGTATGAAGAGGAGGAAGGGTTTCAGATCGACATATCTGAAGAAGGTTTTCAGCCTTCACTGGCGTAGATCCCTTCTTGTCTGAGGAGGAGATCGAAGATATGAGCTCACGAATGAAGACTATCGTCGGAGAGATGAGGTAGAGAAGCTGATTTTGATTCTGGGTTTTGTCCTCCGTCGTTTCGTCTTCAGATCAATGTGTGTGTGTGTGTTCAGATGAAGAACCCAAGAAACTATTTTTTTTACATATTATACCATTAAAGTTTTTTTTTTTTTTTTTTTTTTTTTTTTACCATTAAACTTTTTGTACACATTTTACCATTAATCTTATATAATTTATTCAAAAAATATTATTTCAAAAAATACATATTTTACATAAAATGGGTTTTTCATCACCTATTGTGACTCCCTGATTTTGTATGGTTTGGGGGAAAGGGTTTGTTTTTTACAATGATACTAAGGACTTTCTTTTAAAACTACATTGTGAATTTAGTTGATCATACAATGATTGAAACCCACAAGGTTTGAACTTGAGACTTCTATCTGGAGCGGCGAAGAAATACTTAATTGTTCATTATTTTAGCTAATGTCTAATAAACATATTCTTATAAGTCATTTTCTTAGGAAACTACGTTTGAGGCACACTTATAAAGTCATGAAACATTTTGTACATGTTACCTTATTATACCCCCCCCCCCCTTCTTGATTATGGTTGATGATTAAAAAAGTCCATTGAAATTATGTCGTTGTTTACCGATAGAAAAATGATTTATAATAATAAGTTTATTAAAATTTAGAAAATCAGTAAAATCCATATGGGAAACCTACTTTTATGTAATAATTTGTATTTTTTTTGAAATGATATTTTTTTCAATAAATTATATAACATTAATGGTAAAATGTGTACAAAAAAAAGTTTAATGGTAAAATGTGTACAAAAAAAGTTTAATGGTATAATGTGTACAAAAAATAGTTTACTGGTATAATGTATACATAATGAACAGTAAAATCCACGTCAGCAGCCACATGGCATGCCACGTGATATGCTACGTGGCTGATGATCTATTATTACCCGTAATATAATGGTATTTTTTGAACAAATGTGAAGTTTAATGGTCATATATGTACAAAAGTTATAGTTGATTGGTGATGTATGTACAAAAATAAGTTCAATAGTATTTTTTTACAAGTCTAATACTTTATTACATTTACAAGTCATTTTCCTTGACATATACTACATTTAACTCTACTTCCCTTTGCCACCGGAAGTATGGAAGTAGCTAACCATCTTCATCGTAAATAACCCAAAATTCTCATACAAACAATGAAGTTTTAGCACCACAGGATGTTGATTGATCTTATATAAGAAAAAATATCCCATATTTGTTTCGGATTTGCAATATAAGGATTTATTGCTTCAATTATTTGATTTTGCAATATAAGGGTTTATTTTCTACAATAAAAAGGTAAATTTGCCATTTTTATTATTCAAACACATCCATTCCAAAGAACATGTTTTCATTCAATATATTCCAAAGAACATGTTTTCATTCAAATATAAATTTTTCCGAGCCTCTATATCCGTTAGATGTCTGAATGTTTTAAAAAGCTTTATATATGAAAAATATTTCATCAAAGTTGTAAAAGATATACAAAGTTAGGTTGTCGAATTTATGGTTTTTGATCTTTTTTTTTTTTTTTTTTAATTGACCCGTTTAATTATTCGGATCCGGATAAACCTATGCTTTCCAATTTGTTGCAGAACAAAGAGCTCGAAGTCGGTCTCTTCACAATCCGTTAATCCTCCATGGAATTCATCTCGCACACGATGCAATTTCTCTCATGTCAGCCTCTCTAAAACCCTGAAATTCCATAACCCCTAGTTCATCACACAATATGATTCCCACACAAATTGGGATACCTGATAAATTTGTATTACCTGGGGCTTTTTCTTCCCAATCCAGCATTACCCTCCATACCTCACTCCCTATCAAAACCCCCCTTCGAAATGATTTGAAACGTATTGAAATCAGGAGAAAAAGACTACATTTTCCCCATGCATTCTTTCGAAAATCCGATTCGGGTCAGAATAATGATAATAGTGCACCACAGGATGATTTTGTAACTAGGGTTCTGAAGGAAAATCCTTGTCAGATAGAGCCCAGATATAAAATTGGTGATAAATTGTATACACTGAAGGAGAAAGAGAATTTGGGGAAGAAGAGTCATGGTAGTAATAGTGCTTCGGAGATTCTCAAGAGTCTAAATTCGAAATGGTTGAGCAACAACAAAAGCGGAGATAGGGTGGATTATTCACAGGATGTGTATTTGAATGATATTCTGAGGAAATCAAAGGGGAAACTTTATGTTCCCGAACAGATATTCGTAGAGGAATTATCTGAAGAAGCCGAATTCGATAGGGAGTTCGAGTTGTTGCCAAAAATTAGCTTTGACAATCTCCAGAAGTATATAGAGACCGATACGATAAAGTTTTTGACTTTCAAAGATAAAGGTGATGTTTCTTATGGACAAAAGGATCTTATCGTGGAGCTGAAAGAGATTCCGGGAGACAAGAATTTGCAGAGGACTAAGTGGTCGATAAAGCTTGATGATATTCAAGTACAAACTGTTCTAAATAAGTATAATGGACCCAAATATGAGATAGAGACACAAACGATGACATGGGTGGGAAAGCTCCCACAGTATCCAAATCCAGTCGCCTCATCAATATCCAGCAGGGTGATGGTGGAACTTGGTGCAGCGACAGCTGCAATTGCTGCAGCTGCGGTTGTTGTTGGTGGCTTTTTAGCTTCAGCTGTATTCGCAGCAACCGGTTTCGTTTATGTAGGGACCACATATGTCATATGGCCCATGGCAAAATCACTGCTTAGCGTTCCTATAGAAGTTGTTGGTGGTGTTTTGGAAAGAGTGGGTGATGCGATGTTAGACATGTTCTTCTATGGCGGGATTTCCTCAAAGTTGAATGAAATGTATCGACTTGGGGTTTTTTCATCTGCCTTTTCAATAGCTAGACCCATATTGTTGGTAGGTTTATTAATGGTTGTTCTTGTTCGTTTCACTCTTTCCAGAAGGCCCAAGAATTTCAGAAAATGGGTAAGATTAAGGATCTAAGATACCCTTTTTTCTACAGTGTATGCATATGCTTCATAATCTTGAAATTCGTTTTCTTGAAAACAAATTTGCAGGACATATGGCAAGGAATTGAATTTTCACAGTCTAAACCACAAGCTCGAGTTGATGTTAGTTTTACTCACATTATTTCAAAGATCAAATTCTTGATATATGCGTGTCATTCATTTCTTATTCTCTTTTAACCATTTGTTTAGGGTTCAACTGGTGTTACATTTAGCGATGTGGCAGGTATTGAAATAGCAGTCGAAGAGCTCCAAGAGGTAAAAATCTTTCTTTTTCTTCTAAAAGTTACAAACGATCCTGAAATTAGTTCTATTTGTTAGATTATCCCTCATAAAATGTTTGACTTTTTAGCTAGTCAAATACTTGAAGAATCCAGAACTATTTGACAAGATGGGGATAAAACCACCTCATGGTGTACTACTAGAGGGTCCTCCAGGATGTGGCAAGGTAGGTTATTATAAGCTATTTCATCCTCTTTATGAGAAACAGGATTAATTAACTTTATGTTAAATGTCATTCAGACCCTTGTGGCTAAAGCTATAGCTGGAGAAGCTGGTGTCCCATTTTACCAAATGGCTGGATCAGAATTTGTTGAAGTGTTAGTTGGTGTTGGATCTGCTCGAATTAGGGATTTATTCAAAAGGGCAAAAGTCAACAGACCATCTGTTATATTTATTGATGAAATTGATGCATTAGCTACAAGGTATTCAACTATTCATTCATGTCCTTATTGTGTTTTTTCTATTTATTTATTTATTATAGAAAAAGATTCGGTAGATTGACATTTTCTTTTTGCAATAATCAGGCGTCAAGGGATATTTAGTGACAAAACAGATGATCTATACAATGCTGCTACACAAGAAAGGGAAACTACATTGAACCAATTGTTGATAGAATTGGATGGATTTGATACAGGAAAAGGTGTTATTTTTTTGGGTGCTACAAATCGTAAGGATTTGTTAGATCCTGCACTTTTGAGGCCTGGTAGATTTGATCGAAAGGTTGGATCTTTTCTCTTTCACATAATTACATAAATACCCTCTTGAAAATACTCCATGTTGCAACTTAGGACATGTTTTTATGAAAATATTGTTTCTTTTTTTAGATAAGAATTCGTCCTCCTAATGCAAAAGGGCGATTGGAAATATTGCAAGTGCATGCACGCAAAGTGAAGTTGTCAGAATCTGTTGATTTATCTGTTTTTGCCCAAAATCTCCCTGGTATGTGCTTTCTTGATCTCTCCTCCTTTTTAGTAAGTTACACAAATGAACCTTGTTCTTTCTTTTTTACCATGTTGAGTCCAAAATTTGAAACATTTTTCAGTTTCAGTCGTTGTTTCAAGTTTTCATATCAGTTTTGGTCACTACAACTTAGAAATAAGGACCAAAATCGATATGAAACCTTGAAATAAGGACCAAAATTGAAAAAAGTTCCAATCTTGCACTAAACATGGTATAAATCTGAAAGCACAGGGACCATTTTCGTAATTCACTGAAAATTTGAGTTGAAAATAATTGTATAATGTGATGTCCATGAGTTTTAGTATGAGGACATTTGATTTTCATGTTTCAAGAAATGATAATAAAAAGAAAGATTTGTGTGTTTAATGGTTCAATTATATATTTGATTTAATCTTTTGTTTTTATCTGAAAAAAAAGTAAATTACAAAATTACCCTTGCAGGATGGAGTGGTGCAAGATTGGCTCAGCTCCTCCAAGAGGCTGCTCTTGTAGCTGTGAGAAACAAACATGAGTCAATCCTTCAGTCAGATGTTGGTGAAGCTGTTGACCGTTTGACCGTGGGCCCCAAACGAGTTGCATTAGATTTGGGTCAACAAGGTCAACGCCGTCGAGCCACAACTGAAGTGGGGACCGCTTTGACTTCCCATCTTTTAAGGAGATTTGAGAATGCAAATGTTGAGCCCTGTGATCGCATCTCAATTCATCCTCGTGGCCAGGTAAAAAATAAGTTCAAGAAATAGCAACCTACTTTCACTTTCTATTTCTATTTTTATTTTTTTTATTTTTTTTATTGAAGTAATGATTTTTTTTTTTTTTTTTTTTTCTTGATTGATACTAAATGATAATGAATGCAGACACTATCACAAGTTGTATTCAATCGACTCGATGATGAAAAGTATTTATTCGAACGTCGACCACAGTTGCTTCACAGACTTCAGGTAAAATTATCACAATGTAAAATTACCATTTTGCCCCTACTAATGCTTACATGATTACATGAACAGGTCTTACTTGGTGGGAGAGCTGCTGAGGAGGTGATTTTTGGAAGGGATACATCAAAGGCATCGGTAGAGTACCTTGCAGATGCAACGTGGCTCGCCCGGAAAATCATCACAATGTAAATTTACGTGTTTGCCCTTTTATTGGGTCGGATAGATTTAAAGGGTATTTTAGACTTTTGACATGTTTGCTTTTTCTCAGATGGAACATGGAGAACCCGATGGTTATACATGGGGAGCCACCTCCATGGAGAAGGGAGCCTAAATTTGTGGGCCCACGTCTAGACTTTGAAGAATCTTTATATGAACATTATGATCTGATTGAGCCATCAATTAACTTCAAAATGGATGATGAAATTGCAAAAAGAACAGAAGATTTGATGTCCAACATGTATGGAAAAACCGTTGCTTTACTCAGGCGCCACCATACTGCTTTACTCAAAACCATAAAGGTAATTTTGACTTTGACGTTGACTTTGACTTTGAGGCCCAACAAGGGACTTGATTGTTGTTAGTTGAATTGTTTCAGGTTCTTCTTTGTCAAATGGATATGACTGGGGATGAAATTGAGTTAATTCTTGATGAATACCCGCCAAATACTCCAACAAGTCGGTTACTTGAGGAAGGTGATCCAGGGAGCCTTTCCTTCTTTAAACAAAAGAAAGGAGAAGATCTTGAAATGGAGTATAGCATCTTGAGTCAATGATTACACGTGTTCATGGATCCCCAATACAAAAATTGCATTCATATTTTTCTTCAAGTTTGTAGCAACAAAGTTTATTTTTTATTTTTTTATGGGAGAGAGGATTTCTGGGTTTAGATTGTTGTTGTATAGAAGGTTTTGTTGAAATCTTGGAGGAATCGTTAGAATGATTGTTTTTGTATGTTGGTTCTAAAATGCACAAGATTTTCCCAGATTTTACTTTTTGTTTAGATTGTTGTTTGAATGTTGGTTCTAAGATACTTGTTGTTGTTAATGACCAAATGAGTATTAACTTGTAGTTGCTAATTAGTTATTCAAAGAATAATAATGTTTGTTGAAGTTTAAGAAGTACCTATTTAGTAACATGTGTAAGGCACCGCTTCTCTTTTCTTATAACATTTTGGATTTTGATACATGTCATAATCTAGTAAATAATAAGAGGATAAATGTGAATATTTAGGAGGATATTGAACCTCTCTTTCATGTATTATGGGATGGAAGAGGTGGAAATTAAAGAATAGCTAAAATGGAAGGGTTGAAAACAAAAAGGAAATTTTCAGAAAAATCTTAAAATTTTAGTTATGAAAAAGTCTCAAAGTAAATTTTATTTACAAAAAAGCACAAAATAACGGTTAAAACTTTGAAAAAACCTTTTTCATCCAGTTTCATAAATTTTGCCGGTATTATATAATTTTTCGTTAGTTTGTCTAAAATTTTGGGATTTTTCCAAAAATTACATAATAACCAAAATATTTGGAATTTTTTGAAAATTACAATGAAATTAATGGATATTATTATTAACAAATCATTTACAAGCATAAAAAAATATTTTTATTATAAAAAAGGAAATATATTTGTTGCTAATTTCTACGAATAAATTGGTGGTCTAAGTACTCTATTGCTTTCTGACCACTCAAACTCTCTACGTTCTTCCTATGCATTATTGTGAGTATGATGGTGTGATGAACTTAGTTAACATTCCTTTAATGTTGGTGTTTCTTTTATGTTGTTTAACCTAATTACAAACAAACATTTATACCTTGCATGTTAACAACCATCAGCTAACACACATCTATAAAATATAAAAAGTTAACCGTGAATGAGAATTTATATGGAAACAATTGAAGGGTTATTATCTATTTAAATTGTCATTCAAAGTTTACTTTTCACTCTCACTAGATGTGTGTAATTTTATGGTTGTTACTAGGTAATGTTTGGAGGTTAGGTAGTAATTAGGTTAAAAAACATAATGAAAGATATATATGTTCGTGTAATGATATTTTCTAATAACGTGATCATATAACATCATGCTTAATAGCAAGTAGATACTTATTGATTTTGTATTAATAAATATTATCAACTCTTGTATTGGTCACGCCTAACAGAGAACTTCTCACTATGACACCTACAACGATATATAGGAAGAACATAGAGACTTTGAAATAGTCAACAAACAGTAGAGAAATACATAATCGACCATTCATTTGTTAATAATAATAAAAAATGCATTTCCTTTGTTTATAATAAACAAATTGTGTTTATAAATGATTTGTTAATAATAATATCCATTAATTCTATAGTAATTTTCAAAAAAGTCTCAATATTTTGGTTATCGGGTAATTTTCAAAAAAGTTGTAATATTTTGAGCAAATTAACGAAAAATGACAGAATACCGGTTAAATCTACGGAACCGGCAAAAACGGGTTTTTTCGAAGTTTTAGTCGGTATTATGTGCTTTTCTGTAAACAAAAATTAGTTCGGGATTTTTTCATAAATTAAACTAAAATTTTAAGATTTTTTTGGAGATTTCAAAAAAAAAAAAAAAAAAAAAAAAAAAAAAAAAAAAAAAAAAAAGTACATCCACCTCAAAATAATACTAGTAATTACCTATCTTCCATTTGTGTTGCATACTTGTATTTGAACATGTAGTATGCTATTGAGTTGGAGTTGAAAGTATAATGGTTAGAATTGTTTATCTTTACATTTCTTAATATCTTATGGATATGTATTATGAAATTGATTATTTGATTATTGCGATTTAAATTGCAATAAACAGTTTGCCTTATTCGGATTAACATACGTGAATTATAGTGCTTATTATATTCATATTGTATACCACTAACTCAAGCGGGCCTTAAAAGACCGAGTTTTTTTTCCCGAGTCGGGTCAAGAACTGATATCGGGTTCAAAACCGATCGTGCATGTCTAGACAGAGCCAATATTTCCGAGGGGTGGGGTATGATTAGGATTTGGGGGTGCTTTTACTTTTAGAATCGAAAAACAGAGTAAACTTCTCCTGTCCACTCTTACGTAAATCTTCAACTTTGATGAGAGATGAAGAAACCCATCATCCAAGATCCATCTACAGATGTCAAATTTCACCCTAATAACCTCAAATTGTTCAACAAAAAAGATGAAAAAGATAGTTTTTTAAAGCTCTCGTTGCCTTTGTTCATCACATTTTGGCTCCCTTTTATGATTTCATTCTCTACATTTGGCCTCAATCACGGCAATGGAGGTATCTCACAGGCAGTTCCAATAAATTATCGATTTTGATAAGAAAATATTTGTTATTTTCGAATTATGTTACATACCCATTTATTATTTCTTGGCTTTGTGAATCCCTATTGTTAAATCTTTGCATAAAGTTATGATTTTTAGGGCTTGTTTATGTAATATTATGAGAATTTCTCATACCCTTTTGGAAACCATCATTCTATTTATTTAATTTCATGAATTTGAGGTACCTTGTATCGTATGAATTTGAGGTACCTTGCATGAATTGATGCATCTATGAGGATGATCTTTAGGGTGGTTGGACGTTCATGTAATATTTTATAAAAATATATGCGGTTTTCGAGTTACCCATAATTTGTTTCTTGATTCTATGAACTTCCATTGTTAAATTCTTGCATAAAGTTACAATCTTTAAGGTCTGTTCATGTAATATTTTGAGAATCTGTGATACCCCATTAAATAATCCTTTTATGTTCTTCATTTTTGCAGGGAATGTAGGTGTTTTTAGCAAGAACTTCACCAACTTGAGCTCATATCCATACCTCGAAGATCAAGGTCGAAATCATACAGATAGGGTTCTTTTAGAGTTCAATATCTCTAGGGTTCATAACGATTCATCGTCTTACGAGGAAGAAACCGATGGTAACCCTCTTGAAGAAACAACTTCAGCAGACGAAGTATTCTGGAAAGTTTTAGGTTATTCCTCATTCGTCTGCGAACGACAAATTCAAGACCTTTATCTCGAAAACAGACAAGAAGAGGTCAAATCAAGCCGAACCCATCTAACATATCGTGATTTGAAAGAGGTCACCGGTGCACCAAGCGGTTTGACCAACATCACCCACCGGCTGGAGCCCGATGGAACGAAATACAACTACGCGGCGGCGTCAAAAGGCGCGAAGGTGGTGGCGCACGATAAGGAAGCGAAAGGTGCAAGCAACATTTTGGGGGAAGATCACGATATGTATTTGAGAAACCCGTGTTCTGTTCCTGAGAAATTCGTCGTCATCGAGCTTGCAGAGGAGACTTTAATTGACGCAATTACGATCGCGAATTTTGAACACCATTCTTCGAATTTTAAGAAATTTGAATTGGCGGGAAGTTTGGTTTTTCCGGCCGAATCGTGGTATGAGCTCGGAACTTTTAAGGCGGAAAACGTGAAACATAAACAATACTTTAAATTACCTGAACCCAAATGGGCGAGATATGTAATGTTGCGATTGATTACTCATTACGGGTCGGAATTTTACTGCACGCTTAGTGTTTTTCAAGCATTTGGAGTCGATGCGATTGAAAAAATGCTTGAAGATCTGATCATGGCGTCACCGGAATCGACAGAGAGAAAGTTATCAAACCCTAATCTGAAAACCGATGGTGAACTGAAGAATATTATCGAAGGGGTTGATGATGGACTGAAAGTTCCTGAAACTGTGGCTAAAGGTAATGGGCGGATTCATGGTGATGCGGTTCTCAAGATTTTGATGCAAAAAGTTCGATTGTTGGAGAATAATTTTTTGTTGCTGGAGGAGGAGATTAATGGGGTGAACATGAGACATGGTGATGTTGTTCCGCAGCTTGAGAAAGAAATCGCGAAATATTCAGGGCTTGTGGAGGAAACAAGATCGGAAATTGAGAATCTTTTTCCATGGAAGGAAATTCTAGTTAGTTGTTTCTCTAACTAACTGTAGATCAAATTAAACTGTCTCGGGTACATCCCACTTAAGACAGTGTAGTTCAGTTTCAGTTGGTTATCTTCTTGAACGTGTTAATTTAACACGGGTTTAGTTTTAGTTGGTCTTTAAAGACCAACCGAAAAAATCAACTGAAACTGATCTACGTTAAACTGGTTATCAAATCTTTGTGATTTACGGACCATGGTTAACGATTTCAGGAAAAAGAAATTGCGGATTTGGAATCATGGAAGGCTTCCGTGTCATTCCTTTTGGAATTGGTAGTCAAAGAAAACATCATGCTTAGGTAATGAACATCATTAAAATTTTAAAATTCAATTTTAAGCTTGACTTTTTAAACCCTTCAAAAATGGGCCTTGCATCTTCGGTAATTTGCAAGAAATAACAGCTTGTTTTACCCTTTTTATTGTTAATCCATAAGGCTAGAGGGAATGAAGCATGTCATGCCCACATCATCTTTGAAACTATAAAATCTTTGTCATATCATTTTCGCCACACAACATAAATGACATGATATTTTTAAGGGGCGTGTCAACTTGGTAAATAAAGAAAAAAAAAAGAAATAAACACACTCACATGCACATTATCTCTTTTCTTTTTCATCGACACTAACATACCATTTGAGTTTGCCATTTTGCCATGCCACCTTTGAGGGGTGGTGCTTACATGGCATGCCAAGTAAATGCCGAGTGTTTTTACCACCCACTCCCCTTAGCATAATAGTAGTATACGTACATTTATTTTACCATAATAGAAACATATTTACATTCTTTAACAATATAAGTACATTACTATTATGGGTAAAAAATAAAGTACATTACCATACTGGTAACGAGAGTAAAGGATTGTGCTAAATGGTGCAAAATTTTGCCCACTTTTTTGATAGGCAAGAACTTGAGAAGGTTTTAAGTGATGAAGAAAGCTTGGATAAAACCGAACATGCTTTGTTGTCTGCAAGTGTTTCTTTCACTATCGTTGTCACATTAAAGATTCTTTCAGACCGGTTCTCAAACTCCTCAAGTGACTTACATAACCGAAAAACACGCAAGGCAAATTGGGGATGGAAATTTCTGGTTTTGACTTGTGTTATTACAACAATTGTTACTTTGACTTTTTGTTGAGAATTTTTATTGATAATC